TCACTAATCAGCTGGTGCTCCTCAAGGTATCTCATAAGCTGGCAATTGATGGTCGTTTCCATGACTTTCGAGAACAAGGGAGTGATGGCAATCGGCCTGTAGTTGGACGGATTCGAGCTATCGCCTTTTTTAGGGATCGGGTGGATTATGGCAGTCTTCCAAGATTTCGGGACTTCGCCTACAGAGTAGGAGAACCGGAACAGGCGCGTTAAAACCGGTGCCAACTCAGGAGCGCAAGTCCTAAGCACAATGGGAGGGATTCCATCGGGCCCACTCGACTTATTAACGTCCAGAGATTGAAGTACTTTACGCACTAATCTCTGTCGAAACTGGATTTCCGGCATAAAGGTGTCACCGCACAGGATTTTCGGCGGCGAGCAACCTTTGTCCTCCAGAGTCGAGTTGGACGCGAAAAGAGAGTCAAGAAGGTCGGCCTTCTCTTTTGCGGTGTGGGCCAACGTGTCATCCCCCCTGCGCAGAGATGGTAAGGACGGCTTATTCCACCTTAAAAGCGAGTTATTTGAACGTTTCGTAAGCAATAAGACGACACACGGAAAAAATAACCAATAGGACGCTTATAAATTCGACTAATTGCTTTTTACTGCTATAATATCTTTTGAACAACTAATTGCTAGTTTATTAGTTATTTTAGTTAGAAGGAATAAGACTAGTCATCTGTAATTAGAACACTGCGTAAAGCCCTAACTGTACTTATGCCTTGTTCTCTTTGTTGTCTTTTATTATAAAATATGAAATCTGGATCATTTTGGTAATACCTAAATTGAATTATAATGTCGTTAAATCGTAGGTAATGCTTACTCTTGTATTGTTGTTGTCCTATATTATGATTATTTAATGTTTGCACGAAGTTTTCAGCTGCCCATGTGAACGTTGCCTCGTTGCCGTTTATCGGCTTCTGGTTGATAAGTGGTGTTTGATTCACGAACCTGAAACAATACAAAAACATTGTTATATCAGCTTTTCGAAAGTAAATGGGACCAGAATGTTTTTTCATATATATCAAAAGGTGGCAAACATCGCTGATATAGCGAAGTGAACGTTGCCCATAGACATACGCAATTGCATATGCGTTGCCTACCTTTAAACGACAGAGAAGAGGATGCACAAAAAGAAAATATATTCCCTTTCCATGCATCCTCTCATCCGGAAAGTCCACTTCCACTTCCCATCCTTTCCTTATAAGAAAAAGGGTGGGAAGGGAAAGAAGACTAAATTCGTTCTCCGGGACGCACACTCATCAGACTGCACGCGGAATAGCTTCCACTTGACGCGTGTCTTCTGTGTGGTCGTGGTATTTCACCGGGCGAGCCGGGACAATTCGCACAAAGATGTGTAAAGCGGGCTCTACCACTGTTAAAACTGTTGTCGTTTGTCTTTGAGTCTGATTATTGTTGAATAAAGAACTTACCAATCGTCCCAACCTTTGAGAGCTTTAAGTAAGTATTCGACGTAACGTAACGAATCTTGATTCGCGAATCTGTATCCACACACTAGTTCTAACTCCTGAAATAATTATAATTAGTTGTTTTAAATTAGTTTAAAGAAATATATAGAATAGTTTTTAGTAATTATTTAAACTTTCGTGAGACATAATGATAAACTTATATAAAACGGCTAAACACTGATGTATGTTCGTCCGATGACAGCACCGACTAGCTTTGAGCCCATCAGGGGTCTTTCATCAGGGTGAGTGGGACTGGTATTATTTCGTGCACTCGGCCCCTCGCTCAGTCGGTGCCGCCACCGGACAAACATACGTTAGTTTTCTAGCCGTTTTTTCTTTCTAATGTTAACATTACTACGAATCAACATATAAAAAAAAACTTGTTCGTACTTAAGTAGTAGTATTAGTAAAATTAATCTTACTTATATTATAAAAGCGAAAGTTTGTATGTATGGATGGATGTTAAAAAGTATCTGAAGTACGGCTGCATAGGTTTCGCTAAAATTTGTGACATGAATAAAAATAAATTAATTTCCATTGAATCTAACTATAGGGGCTATAGTTTCCGTAACAACTGGCGAGTATTTTGCATGACAACAGAACAATTCAGTTAAATTCAGATAAAGAAAAATAAATTTGTTAAATTGTTTAATTCATAGCAGAAATAATGCTATTAATCACATTATGACGTCATTAACGAAAACGCATATTTAGATGAAAATAGAAAAAAAGAGAGAAACAGAACGATTAGTTAGGTATGAGCAAAAGAGGGAGAGAGTTACCTTAATAGAAGCTTGTATGTTGTCCCTGGTAAAGGTAAATGTGGCGGCGTCTCGACAGATATCCTCGATATTATGAGCTTCATCTATTATCACGATGTTATCTGATAAGTCGATTTGCATCTGAAAAACAAACAAATCGAACAAACAAATATATTAGTCGTCGATACGTCAAATAAATCGTTAAGATCAAAAATAGTCTCGGCTAACTGACATATATTTATCCATATTATTATAATAAAATTGGAGTGTCTGTATGTAATATCGATAAACACATATATGTGATTTATATGCGTTGCTGATAACGATAAACCATTTTTAAAATTTTTTTCCTCTCTATATTTGACCTCAAGGCCACGTTTGTCCGGGTAATCCCCGTAACGACTTGTCCGATTTTAACTGGGAACTTATACACGCAGGCATATTATAAGCTTTTTTTTTCAGAGGGGAATGCTTTATGCATACTTCGCGCCCCGGGGGGGACGCGGTAGTTATGTGGGATTCTCCTCCATAACGGAAGCATACCCACTAAACCCCTCTGTTCCTCCAACGCATCGGGCCGGGACCACGGGCACACTTTCGGTCTCGTCCGCGGCCCGGCATATTATAAGCTACTTATTTTATTCTGAGCTGACGAAGTCGCGGGCGGCAGCTAGTAACTAAAAAAAAAAACAATTGTTATGTACTCACACTACTCCTTATGGAAGGTTCGATAAGGTAGTTGTAAGGGCAGAACACAATATGCGCGCTGGCCGCCATGCCGCGCGCCGCGTAGTACGGACACGCCCTTATCTCTTCTCCCTTAGCCACCAGCTCGTCTAGATCGAAAGCAGGAGGTAGCGTCTGGTGGTTGAGTGACGCTCTGTTGTCGTAGTACTTGCAGTTTGAATCCGCCCTCTGTTCCATTGATTTTGTTGTATACGGCTAGGAAAAGAAAAAATATATACGTACAAAATTATTTTCTCTACCAACATACTTTACAAAAGTTTTAATTAACAAGTATTAAGACGTTTAAGTAGCTAATGGAACTACTAGCTGTCGTTAGGGACTTGGTCCGCGCGATAATAACAAAATATAATTATTAGCCTAAGCGTTTTTCCAGACTATGTCCTACATCTATGCCAAATTCCAGCAAGATCCGCAATGCCGGTCTGGAGATAAATTAAAACACCCATCCATCCATCCAAATATACACATTTATAATATAAGTAATATAGTAAGATGGGAAACTATAATAAAAAATAACAAACCTTGATACAAGCCCTGCACATATCATTCCTTGAACTCCAGGTCTTCTTATCAAACTCCCGCACACAGCTATAGTCCCTACTGGAGAGTATTGTCATCTGGAGCTGGCCGCAATAGTCAGTCCTCGCGAATTCCTTGATCACCTGCTGCAGCTGCTTATGAGTCCTCGCCCCGTAGTATATAGTTGGTACACTGCAATCAACAAGCATCGACGTCCTCAGTCGGAGGTTGTCCACTCGGTTGTACAGCCCTCTGGAAATCAATAATAACCATCAACTAATGACACATACATCACCGATCGTGAATGCTGACAGTTTGTAATATGCCTGGGTAGATTATAAACTGCAATTTGCATTCAAGATCGGTCGGTAACTACTCATGCAGACCAAGTATCACGGTAATTGTTTTTAATTATTAAAATTTCACCAAAAAGTTTGGGAATCATTAACATTTATGAACCAGTTGTTTCTGTTGTTTTTAGGAAAAGGAACATTTAAAAAGATTTAAGCTAAATATCTTATTTAAGTGATAAATGAAATATACTTAGATAAGTGACGTAATACTTGGCTCTTTATCTAAACTACAACATGCAAAATATACTCTATGACGAAGTAAACACATACATTTACAAAACATATCAGATGTGTAACATATATATGATAAGTAATAAAATAAAAACAATAAGAATACATAATAAAGTACATAATACTTATTACATGCCTTATTTATATACCAATAAGCTAACCACTTTAAATAAAATACTACAACTAATAAAGCTATCTACAGTGTTAATGGAAGAAATTGGTTACCTTTGCAGCCGTGCTAAAAAGAAAATAAAAACGAAATCGGAAGAATAAATTTTAAACAAAATTAAAACAGTACTTAATATATAGATATTATTTAACCCGGAAAAAGAACGGTATTTTAAAAAAATAATTTTGTCATCAAATTTTTTTTTATTCAACCCATAATTTTTAAATAAATTTTTCATTTTCCTATTCGCTTATGATCACTTTTAAACATGAAAACATTTTGTAGAATTGTTAGCGAATGTTGCCTTAAAATCTGTAACTTAACACTTGACATGACGATTTGTTCCTTGAAACTCTTGGCTTGGCTAAGACGTAACCTTTGTAATATTTATTATATATAATATATGTATTTAAGTAACATCGTTAATAATATTCCATCATTATTTAAAAACATTCTCATATTATTAAAGCAATGATTTATGGAATAACGTTCACAAAAAGACATATCAGGTAAATTCTTACCGGACATTTTGAGGAGTGTCAGGTTGCGTTGTTTGTTTCTTCTTGTCCGGGGTAGAAGGCAGCTCTGTTTCATCTAGTGAGGTGGGTAGTTGTGAGTCGTACATTGATTCACAACCCATACCCCGCTCACTGGCAGCTAAGCGTCGCTTTTTGTGGATTTTCACTAGACCAGCCTCATTGTTTTCTGAATATCGAATACAGTATGTTAAATGATATAGATAAAATGCATTTGACAACAATGACAGATGAGACAACAAAGCTGAGTGAAACCTTATCCGGTCAGTATCGCAACACTCTTTATAAATATTTCCGGTTTCTAATTAATGTTATGTTTTATGTGTTATTTCTTTATAATTATTTTTGTGCTGTTTTTGCTTATTGTATTATGATATTGAAAGGATTAAATGTTATTTTATTTATGATTACCAAAGAGAGTATGGATGGAAAGTGTCAAAGAGGATGTACGCAAGGACAGAGAAATTGCAGACATGACGGCTGATACTGTCTACTCGGTATATGAGTGCCTATCTTCCTAATAAAATCAAAGATATACCCGGGACAAACAGCTATATAGATTCTAGTATCAAGCTAATCAACAAACACACATTGTCCTTTTATTTATCCAACTGAAAGTTACTCTTTCGCATAGTAAGCAAGAGTTGGCTAATATGCGTATTCTCGATTTCTTTACGCAGCGAGTACGCCTTGAGTGCGATACAAAATGGCGACGTTGGTAACAATGGGGCCATTACTGGGATTACGTTGTCGTACAACTCACCCTAATGAAAGTATTGAGTCTCCCACAGCACCTGGAAGCTACGCTCAAAGGGGGATCACAATTTGCACTCTTGTATTTATCTACAGGTTTTTATAACCAGTCCTATAGATATAGGTCAGACGAGACATTTTGTTGCTTCTATACATTTGAAAGTCTTAATAGATACTATTTTAAAAATATCTTATTTGTTAATTACTCTATGTTATTTAAGCCAATGTTGTGTTCGTTTTTAATGACAAATTTCTGTATTTAAGTAGGTATTTGACGAATTAAGAATTACCTTCTGTGCTGCTGTCAAGACAATCTTGGCGTTTGCTAGCTCGATTACTTGCTTCTTTGGGGTTCTGTGACGCGTCATCATAAATGCTCTTATGACCTACAGATAAAATCAATATTGGAAACAGCTATTGTTACAATACTTGTAATATGCCTCATGTCGGTGATACCGTTTACAAAAAAAAAACATGTTAAATCGAATTTGTTAGGTGTAATCATATTTTTCGTGACACATAAGAGTAATGTTTTCTTAATTAGTCGCTTGTTTTTTTTTATATTACTACTAGCCGTCGCCCGCGACTCCGTCCGCGTAGATATATATTAAAACTTAATTAGTGTAGTCTATGTGTTTTTTCAGATTATGTTCTATACGTTTGCCAAATTTAGTCGAGATCCGTTCAGCCGTTCTAGAGATATCTTCAAACAACCATCATCCACATCACATCTATCTAAACATTCACATTTATAATATTAGTAAGTAAAAGCAGCTCTTCAAGTAATAAATTAAATTAATAAAAAAAAATGAATAAATAGTATTCTATGTCCGTCTCCTGGCTCTCAGCTACCTCCTCACCAATTTTCAGCCATATCGGTAAAGCCGTTCTTGAGTTATAAATAGTGTAACTAACACGACTTTATTTTATGTACGAGTATATAAAGAATGGTGATATAAGATTTTTCTTCAAACTCATCTTGTTGATATTTTTTAAACTGTAGCTTCTAGGGCAACGACTATCGACGAAGACGAACTCAATTACAACAGTTAGCAAACAAAAGCAAGGAAATTAACCCATCGTGTTCCGTTATCATTTGATAGTGAATTTATCATTTATCTCGTAACTTTGGCCTGATAGCGAACACAACAATGTCAGAACACCGCGAACCTTGCGACGAATTCACGTGAAATTAAGATAAACTTTCGATATTGTGTTACGATGGAAGAGTTTCTAGGAGTGAAGTATGTGATGGTTGGTTCTGAAAACTTTGAGGATTATCTCATTTTTATAGGTATGACATTTACGGTCCATCTATATTTAATTATAATATATGTCATAATATTTCTAATTTAAACCCTAAATGAACTCGATTAGTGGAAATACCTCTATTATTATACACGGAAATAACACGTCTGTGTTATTATTTGTTTTCATAGTCTTATGACAAATTAGCAGCGATTCTTGCATGATAGTTGAAATAGTCAAATTATAAAGTTTTTTTTAAATCTTCGAATTATAACGGGCAGCAACATTAGCTTAACAGCAGATAAACTCCGACGGAAAACTCTTTTCATATGTAACATAAATAAATCCAAATTTAGATAACTACCAGCTATCGCCCGCGAATCCATCTGCGCGGGATTAAAAAAAAACATAATTTTTAACATATGGGTTCTTCCAGACTACGTTTTATATATATGCCAAATTTCATCGAGATCCATTTAGCCGTTGTGGAGATACTTTCAAACAAACATCCATCCAAACATGCGCATTTATAATATTAGTAAGATATAATTATTTTGGTTCATATAAAAACATTAACATATTTTAGGTGTGGGCTACATAGCTAGGAAGGCGGCACTGACCCTTCGTCCTACACATTGCCTAACATTAAACGAAAACGGTACCTATACATTCAGTTTTAGTTCAAGGCTGGTGAATTCTTCAGTCACATTCGCTTTGGGAGTTGAGTTTGATGAAGTCAAACCAGATGGTATTAAGGTAACTCCAATATATTGTAATTTACTATTACTTTCGTACGTGTTGCTAACCTAACCTGACCCGAGGTTGTGAAGCAAATATGTGCCGCGCGTTAGAATTCAACCTTTTTCGTTTTTTAATTTTTTTTCTGATTGTCAATTTTTTTTTGTTGTTTCAAATATTCTTATCAAAATGACAGTTATTTTATATTAAGCAGAAAAGAAACAAAACTATATTCATAATCATGTTCGTATTGATATCTTTATTAAACAATTTAATTGTAGGTAAAAAGCGTAATTACAATAGAAGGAAATAAGATGATACACATTCAACGAGAAGAAAATGGCAGAACTTCGAAACACATACGTGAATTTTTCCATGATAAAATGATAGCGGTAAGTACTATCGGGGTAACAAGCCGTATTCCATCTTAAAAGCGACTTTAGTTTTATGTTTCTTAAGCATTGAGATGACGACGCGGAAACACTTACCAATAGGAACTACTTTCAACTGTGTAGAAAAAAGTGTTTTCAAACGAAAAAAAAGTTGGTCAGTGGTACTGGACTAATTATTTTTTTACTATTTTAAATCGTTCACGCAACTTACTGCTACAATTAATAGGCGGAGTTTGATTGATTGCAAGGAACAAGGCAATTTTTTCTGTAACTGGAACGCCGCGCAGGGCCCGCACTGTACCTAAATATAGCTTTATAATTTCACTCCACATCTCTAATTTAATAAGGGCATTATATCTTGTTTTTCACAGAGACAATGAACTCTAGCTATATCATAATATAGCATAATAGAACTTTACAGGTCGATTTTCTTATAGGAAATCTATAATTTAATTTTGATTATAAATATTTTAATAAAAGTAACTTACTGTCAATTTTTAAAACAGTTTTTTTTCCATTTTTCAGACGACTACTGCTGAAGGATTAGACAAAATTGTCAAAAGATACTTTGAGGCAGTTCGGTGATAAATGATTGACGACGAGGAAAAAATAGTCAAAGTTTTATTTTACACTTTACTTTACTTTAAGAAATAATACTCGTATAATTATACTTTTTGACTCTTAAGTTTGGTAAATTATTTTTATCTAAAAAAAAAAATATTATACAAAAATGAACTTTTATAAGAATTTTAATTTTGGAGTATATTCATCGAATTAAAGTAAGTACCTACCTCAAAAATGATTTCGAGAACGATAGAGACATATAGTGATATAATACAATTTTTATAGTACAATAACCACTAATAAAGTGGTTTACGAATTACCACAAAGTTCGAAATCCTTCAAAGAGAGTAGAGCAGGGACATATGTATATTAGATTTTGCTCAGAGCTAAACAATTTAAACTTAGATTATTCACGAAATTCATAACCGAGCTTAACTAAAGGGTAACGAGTTTGAAGTTATATTTAGGAGTATCTCAGAGGGTAGCCGACTGCGGTCACCTTACGCCATTACCGTGCCAACTAACGTTTGAATAATCAAATTTCTCCGACCTAATCCCTGTATCGACTTTCACTTAACATGGCAGGCCCTTATAACGCTAACAACCCAGAACATTCTCTCCGGGGCACTTTCCAAAACACGATTCCCTATTCCATTAGACCCTCTCGAAGTTATCTCGCGTTATTTACATCGCCTGACCGTACCGTCTTATGTAGACAGGGGTGGCTTATGTGTAGCGTGGGTATATAAGTGAGCAACCGTGCGCCGTGTGCACCGGTCTATAGGGGTTGTTTCTGTGTACGCCGGCCACCGGCTTGGGGTTGGGGCTGGGGTGGTGTCGCGGTGTCGTCGCCATAGCAACGCGGCGCCCGGACCTCGGATCCCGACGCCCGCAGTGTCGGCCGCCGCGCCCGCGCCCCGCCGCGCAAGTGACACGCGCTGCGAAAAAGCACAACTACCCCCCAGCTTACGGTGACAAAGCGGACTAGTGGTTCATGGATATACGAAATTATTTACGTATAAATTTATACTTTAATAAATTTTCGATTAAATGTGAAAGTAAGAAATTCGGAATCAAAATAATAACCACATAGCAGTTACTATGGTGATGTCTAAGATTACACTGTCACAAAAAATGTTTTTCCAAATTTCGAGTTCTCGAAGGAAAATAGAATATAAAGTGTGAGAATGTTAGTCTACTACTAATAATAAAATAAAGAGAGAAAAATTAAACAATGCAACTCTGATCTTCAATTACTGAATTTGTTACTTAAACCAAATATTATACGAAGTACTTTAACGGACAATTTTCGGTTATTACTTATTTCAATCACAAATATACCAGAATTTCGGGATTATCCTACAAAATTGTGGTGATGGTGACCGTACATGTTACCCTCTAGCCGGGTCGATGTGGCGGGGTGGTGGGAGGGCTCGCACCTTTTGTTTAGGACCCTCCTTCCCCCCTTCATTTACTCGCGCGCCGGCTCTCAATGTTGTTTGCAAACGGTTTAGGTGCCTAAATGTAGAGGGAAATGTCATGATTTCACTTTTAAACATCTTCCTACGTACTGATAGAAACACCCCGTATGTTGTATGCTTCTCTTTGTTGTTTGTGTTGAAGTTGATTGTACTATAATACTTTGGTTATTTATAATTGCTAATTGATATTTAGAAGTAATTGATTATAGTAACAAAAATTTTGATAGCTACAGATCATTTAATCAATATCTTGCCGGTACGATTGTAAGTTAATATAACACTGAGGGCGTGTATATTTTTAGACAGCCATATAAACCGTCACCGACGTACATTCGAATTAAAAAAGTTAAAAAGGTAAAGGTTTTCGAACATGATAAAATTCCAAGACAAAGTTATAATTGCTAACAAAGCGTTCACGATCTGTTACATTAAGCTTAAGGAAAATTATTTATCATATCTTTATTTATTTTATAAATATCCCATTATTGAGGTTATACAGTAATAGTTTTACGTCAATATTTCATCTTTTCTGTTAAATTCTATTTAAAAAAATATTTATTCTTTTTCTTAAGTAATACAACAGGAATATTTAAGATTCGGTTCAAAATATTCAGTATCTCAACGTATAACTTCGTATTCACCGTCAACATCAATACAATCAAATTATTACTAATTGGTAATAAGCAAGATAAACTCTAACAAGGGTTTTATCAACATTGAAACTGTAAACAGCAATTTCTAAAATTCTGTCTAGCTTAAATTAAAGCTAACTAACAACCTTATATTATATTAGAATTAAAAATGTGAATGTCACGTATGAATAATATTGACAGTAGACGTGAAGAATGAAAAAAAACTAAACATATGTGTGTTGAGGTCGAATCGATATCGTTGACACATTGGCCCCGCCCGGTCACATGCGAGGTGACGATTGGCCGCTTCAAGCCGCGTCTCAAGACGCCGCATAAACACCTTCCCTGCCACTATGATTTTTACGATGTCTTCTCTTATGACACATACATTTTTCTGTATTCAGTTAGACTTGCTGGGCGAGCCGGCAGCACTGAACGTGGTAACCTAGTGCCACTACTTTAGATGTACTGAACATTTTTTATGAAAGAAATAATCCTGATGCAGCGTGTACATACCATATATGTGATTACGAGTGTTTTGCTGTGTTTAGTGTCATACTTGTAAAACTACGACATATTTTTTTTTGTAAAAGCACGAAACGATTGTAAAACGACATGAATTTTGTATCTTTAAACATTCATAAGTATATTAAAGTAAATCTAATTAAAACGATAATTAAAATGCATAAGCAATATTTAAGGATACCGTTAGACATAATAAAAATAAAACATCTATATTTGAAATCTAATTCCGTTACCATACAATCGAGGCTGCAGATGCGCGCGCGCAACAAAAGCGTACAAGCAATTGCCTTGTTGTACACGCATTGAACAATCGCGTACATGATCGACGTATCTGATAATTTGAATGTGGAAAGGCATTGGAGCGGATAGATGCATGCTCCTGTTAAATACGTTGGATAACTTCGTTTTCATCGCGTTTATCATATGTTTTATTATTAGTAAATGTTTGTTATACTTTCATATTGAAATGTTGTAAAATTGCAAGTACATCGGTTATAGACGATATATTACCATTGTGACGAAATTGTCAAGGAAACAATCTTGCTAATATTATAAACACAAATGTTTGGATGTATGGCTGGAGGTTTGTAAGAAGGTATTGCCACAGATGTAGACATAGTCTGGAAAAACACACTCATTTTTTCTAATACTGCACGGACAGCAACGTGGGCGACAGCTGGTAATAAGTAAGTAAGTTTAGAAATTTGGACGTGATAAAAAAGTGGTATGCCAAAAATCCGTTTTCGCCATTTTTTAATTCAGCAATTTTCATTTAATTATAGTACCTATATGTAAATACTGGACTTACCAAATACTGGTTTGTTGAGATACTTTTCTGGCGTGACGGATTTATCACGTACTGGAGTCGACACGTAGTTCGCCGCCCCCGACACTTGCTTTAGCTCAGAGTTCTGTCTAACCAACTCCTGGGCTAACAGCTCACTGATACGATCTGTAACAAAAGTTTAAAAAGTCTTCTTAAGTTCCGGGGAACATTTAAGGGTACTCGCTAGGCGAGTCGGGAACGCTGAAAGTGTTATCGATAGCACATTTAGTTAGCGTTGGTAGTCCCACAAGCGCACAGAATATTTTTTATCCGAGAAAGGAACAAACGAATATAAGATGTAAGCCTAAGGTTAACTTCCTCGTACACAACGTTGAATCGTGGACGAGAATCGTCTAATCGGTCAGGACAGGCACAGAGACTAAATGTTAACTGTGTAGATTTGCTTCGCCATGTTAATAATCAAGGCGACTTCTCTCACGAAGATTGGAAACGACTAGTTTTGGCGAAAGACCCTTCGTACAAGGCAACTTCGGCAACGTAAATCTTAGAAACCAAAGTGTATCTTTGCGTTGGGAACATCGCAGGATTTGGCGATGATGGATATAAATAACGTTGCATTGCGTAAGTTCATAGCGAATAAAATCCGCATCACATCGCCTTTTGTAAGAAAGGTCTAAAGGACAAGTTGCCTTGTGTAAAAAAGCTTTTAGTGATAAATTCGAGAAAATTCATAGTTCCATAGGAACACCATGTAGCTAGGTTATTTTATTTTGTATTTGTTTCATTTTCTGCAATGTTAGCTAGGCATGAATCTGTTATGTCTGTAGTTTATGTTACACTTATGTATTGTAACGTTAAGATAAAAGATTTGTGTCCGCTATTAAGTAAATAGAGTGGTGGGTATGAGGCGAGCGTTAATAACGATGTGGCACTTTTCCAAATTGGAAACGTACAAGTAAGAGCGATGCGGGGGCAACGGTGCCGGGGGGAGTAGGTATTCGACAACTTTTCATAGCCCGCCGAGCCCTGCTCTAATGAAAATGACAAGACTAATATAACAACTGAAAACATTCCGCCGGACGGATCTAACAAAGCGTTCATTTTCTGATGGCGGTAATCTCGCCGAAGGGCGGTATTGTTCGTCATTTTCTCTACGGCATTTTTTTCCAACGTTTTCTTCTCGAAAAGAATAAAAATACTGAACAGTATTGTCGACGCCGACGCTCGCGCGGTGATCGCGCAAAAAGGAGCCCCCGGATGACAACGAAATGACGGGAGCGACCGCGGGCGGCCCCCTTTCGCCCACTCGTAAAAATGTCGCCCGGGTAAGGGGCGGCGGCGGCGCGGCGTGCCTACGACAAGACGGCATTTTTACCGCACCCCGCGACACCAAATATCGTATCCGACGAGCCAATACCGATGAGATCTCAACTCTGATGCCACGGATTAAAATTGACAATCGACCGCTGGGTTAGAGCTTGGCTTTTCAAAAGTGCGGGCTGTGTTTGCGATAAATCGATAAGTATATATGTAGAAGGCGAGTGCCGAGGGTACAAATTGCACGGATTTTACAGTTCTTTGTGTTAACAGGCTGGGGAAGGGCGCTTAGTGGTTTCCATCGACTGTTTTAGGAAATATAATTTTTTTGGTTTTTATTCATGGGTCGATGTTACAGCTCGAAGCAATTAAACGACAAGTTTTAGCGGATGGTGCTTGAGGGGAATTCATTTGGCATTTTTTGTATACCCTCTCTGCATCAGCTAGCCGGGAATGGCTAGTTTTTTTGCGATGACACTTCAAAAATGTTTCCAGTAGAATTTTAAATGGAAAAACTTTAATTTTAACCAATAAGGCTTCGCTTAAGATGTGTTGAGCAATTTGTCTTTAAGTAAAATGGAAACTTATGATGGAATATCTCTCTATTATTAACATAAGAAACAAGCGGCAAGCACTATGTAGCTTTTGTCTTTGAACTCTTGTTTTATTATAACCTTTTAACTCAACTTTTACATTATAAATAAGCAGAAATGAAATCTTGAATTTAAAATTCATAAATCATCTATACGAGTGTGGCATTTCAAAGCTGATGCGGCATACTTTAAAGCCAGCCCAAAGCAAAGCACTGGCGCTGGTGTAACGCGATCCTCTTAGAATTCGGTGAGAACACAAAGCTTTGTCTTAGACCGCATCGCGCAATCAGCGACGCAAAAAACACGTCTTCAATGATCGCTTCGGACATTCGAAAGGGTAATAAGGTCTCGTGAATAACTTACTATAGAAATAATCCTATAAACTTAGTTCATGAGGGCAATCTTACTAATATTTTAAATACAAATTTTTAGATGGATGGATGGATGGATGGATGTTTGTTACAATATATATTATATTATTTATATCGGAACTTATATTTATTTATATATTTATTATTTATTCGGCACAGATGAACATAGTCCGAAAGAAAATATGGACTACTAATTAAATTTTCTCTTTTAATTTCGGGACCGCAAAAAAATGATAGAGTCGCGGGCTAAGCAAGAAAATGTAAATATACCTGAAAAAAATGTTCAAAATTTCTGCTTTTATATACCATAATATGATGAAAAAAATACACTCGAATCGATAACCTCTTTTTTTTTGAAGCCGGCTGAAACCAAAACCAGAGGCATCTAAATGAGCTGTATTTTATTAGTTGTTTTGCATATCGCCACATTAACCTTCCATCGCATGTTTGAGAAGCGCTATAATTTTTTGAAGCGACTTCGCCTGCAGGATTCCGTGCCCGATAGCTGTTATCGGCAAACGATCAGTACGTACCGCGTCGAGCGCGATACCAAACAACCCTTTATCTAGATCGGGGGTAGTTTGTGACGTCGCCACCCTCGCCACTTCGCATCTCATTACTGTCGAGAAATTCAATTAGAAGCGTTGTTTTTGCCGCAAGGTAACGTGAATTTAAACGAAGATTCCGTCTAACTCATTGCCCTAGTTGATCTATTAATATCAACACCATTTAGCTGACTTCGTTCGCACGGAATTGAAAAAACTTAATTAGTAGCCTATGTGTTTTTCCAGACTATGTTCTACGTCTATGCCAAATTTCAGCCGGATCCGTTCAGCCATTCTTGACATACCTTCAAACAGATCCATTCATCTGAACATTCGGCTTTATAATATTAGTAAAAAATGAAATGTTGCCTCCAAACTTGTAGGTACTTGTAAGTAAATTTAAACATCAAAGAGTGCAGATCCTATTTGTCATAGTACGCTAATATAGATTAAATCCTTGTCTTTTGTTCTTTGTCCTCATTGCAGCTACGTATTATATGACCAAGACCCTCCTTTTACTTTCCCTTTTATAATTACTTAAAGAAAATTTACTTATTTAAATCTATTTCATTATAAACGATTGTCTAGTATATCAATAGGTTGAGTTTTGAGGTAATATTCTGTTCTATGAAAATTGATAACCACCAATTTCAAACCAAATAACGCCTTACACGTTTCAAATAATAGCAGCATCCAAACGTAACGTACAAAGGTAAGGAAATCGCCATTCCAAACTACAAAGAGCATAATATTAAGCGGTCACAATGGCGCTTTATCCGAGGGGGTCCGGATAAAAAACGGATGTGTCAATAATTAACCGTGTGATTCGGGAGCGGGTCGCCGGCGGCCATCGATTCCACGCTTTACGGGACCCGGTTTATTAAAAAAAAATCTAACGAACGTACATTGTGTCGGGACAAAAGGGAACGAACGCTCGGTGTTTTCGTTGGGGTGAAAAATATTACACCCCCGGGCGTGCGCTAGAGAGCCGACCGCCTAACTTGAACGCAGCCAGCACGCCTCGTGGACACATTTCAATTGCAGATCTTTTGAATGCGATTCGAACAATTTCTGGTAAGTTATATATCCAGAAGAATTATATATTGAATTTTAAAAGACTAAACATACAACAGATATATATGTCATAGACTGTCATCTTTCAAAACATCTTTTGGTAGACTCAACACTTCACAATATACTTTCTGACAATATTCATAATATCGGTTCAATGAACTTAAAAGTGTATATCAACTAGGCTTGAGAAACAAAGAAGTATTCAAAAGTAGAGTGAATAGGCGCCTACTAAGCTAGAGCATACCATCTTTCGACCAAATCTCCACTAACACCAGGTGGGATCGTGGTCAAGCGCTGGCTTATAAACGTAAAAAAAAAGTATTTATATAAAACAGAAATACAAAAAAAAGGTTTAATATCGAAGTGCCTATATTATTACCAATATAGTTTCAATAATCGTCACACAATCGCACAAAATCCGCAACGATACCAGCCCCACGCACAATTCGAAGCCTCGGGAGGATCGGGGAAATTCATCTCACTAATCCACCGGGCCGTTGTGAATAGTAAAAGTGACGGCTCTATTCATTGCGGAGGGTGTTGTGGAGGCTAAAGGAGGGTTTGGAGGGGGAGGGCTATGTTGGGTCGGCAAGCGCTAAAATTTAATAAAGCCGGGCCTCGTCGGGAATATGGACAGCCCTCGCGATTAATTACGTACAAGGGGCCAGTGATGATACCTACAAGCCGACGCGTAAATAACATGCCCATGGGAGGGTATAGTTTTGGCACATCTATAATTCATGAACGAATCTGTTATGCTAATTTTCAACATTATACAGCAATTAGACGCCACTCTGGAGATTGTATTTTGTTGTTTTGTTTAATGAGGCATCATTTTTTTTTTACAATTTGTCAGAAAATCTAATATTATTAATATTATAAATGCGGATGGATGGATGGATGTTTGATAGAAGATATCGCCGGAACGGCTGCAGGGATCTCGAAGAAATTTGTCATAGATGTAGAACTTAGACTGGAAGAACACATAGGCTACAATTAAGTATTTTTCAATTCCGCGCGGATGAAGTCGCGGGGGACAGCTAGTAGATAATAAATTGTAGTTTTAACATTTCATTATATTCGTCCTAAAAAAAGTTTTTTTGTTTCAAAAAATATTATATTGGAAACCACAAATTAAATTGAACAGAGTCATATAAAAAACTTATAAACATCAAATTGGCATGCATCACACATACAAACATAAATTTTATACAGATTTCGTCAAAAGTACAAAGCAGTTAAAAACATTACGTGTAAACCTAAAT